TGGTTGACGTCCAGTGGGCTGTGAGATGATGCGTTGTCTAGGATGAGGATGACGAACCGTTCCTCAATTCCCATCCGTGAGTTGAAGTTACTTGCCACTCTGAGAGGCCATGGTCATCCAGGCCTTGCGATTAGAGTGGTACAGCAACCGCCTCCGAAACAACGCGGCTTCTTTGCTTTCCCAATGAACATCGGCTGCAATTTGTCGGTCCCGTCAGCGTTCGTAGCAACGGCAACTGGAATCCGGTACTTGTCTTGCTTTTGGCCCGACCTCGGTTGATCGGCGATTGTGGTACGTGGTTGTGAGTTGCAAAACACTCCGGTTTCATCTGTATTCTAGATGTCGGAAGGGTTGAAACGTCGGGTGATATCTTGGATCGTGGCGCGGCCATTTGCGACGGATGTGGGACTTGCAGACGCGGCTTCTCCGTGAAGACGGTACATTTTCAAATTGTGGCGACTTTGAAGTCGGTATAACAACCCATTTGAGCAACGAACGCGTCCACTTAGGCTCAGTTTTGTCACGATGCGTTGGCTCGCCCTGAGGATCAGTTCGCCCGTCACGCAAGTGTTCTTGGTATTAGCTATTCGCACCCAGTTTGCGACTTCGTCGCAAACTGGGTGCGTGTTCGGGGTATTTTGGTCGCTGAAAGTTAAACCGACATTTCGCTGACTCCTCTTTTATGTTGTACGACTCGATGGTCCGCTCCTCCTTCAGCATTCGACGAATAGTCGTGACGTGGACGGATTGGCCAAATTGCTGAGTCGCCCAGCGCTGGACTTGTGTGGCCTTGATAGGCATATGAGCCTTATAAAACTCTCTAATCGAGTTCTTGTCGTGAATTGTCAATCTCTTGCTTTTGCTTCGCTTGCCCCCCATGCAAACTAATTTCGTAATGTTTGTGGTTGTCAACCTGGGGTCAGTGCCGCCTCATGTTTGAATATTCAAACGGAGCAGCCATGTCAAAAGGCCCTCAAAAATTTGATATCAAATAGAATTTTGTGGGGTGTAAATTTATACCAGGGAGCAAACTTTGAGGGATCACTGTTTCACAGTCAATGTGCGCATACAAAAATTTCGCGGATTGTATCATGCGACCGTTGATTGGCTAATGGGATGGCAGCCAATCAATCGTCGCCAGCATAGCCCCAGTGCCCGAGTGGAGCGATGACCAAGGTGACGATCGGCATCCTCGGCGGATCGAGCTTATTCCACTCGACGCGGTTCTCGTCGCTGACGAAGAAAGTTGTCATCACTGAGCACGGTTCGGTCCTTGTGCACACGGGGGTGTGGGGCAGCACCAACCACGACATTGTGTTCATCCAGCGCCATCATGCGGATGCCGACAACGACGAGTACACCCAACCGGCCAACGTCAACTACCGCGCCATCATCACTGCGCTGAAACAGGTCAACGTCGATTGTATCCTCGGCGTGTACTCGGTCGGGTCCATGCACGTCGACATCCCCGTTGGACAGTACGTCGCTGCCTTCACGACCTCTATGTGACGAAACGTCGACCAGACTCGTCGTCCCCGATGACTACTTCAATCCGTTCCACATCCTCAACATCTCCACGTCGTACGAAGCGCACGTGGTGCCGCGTACGTTGCTCAGTTGTCGACGAGGTCCTTTATGAAGGAGCGGATGTAGACATCACGGAGTCATTGCGCAAGCATTTGGTGCAGCTGCTGCAGCAAGCCAACTTGAACCATCGTGACGGTGGCGTGTATGTGCAAACGTCGGGCCCTCGTTTCGAAACCAAGTCGGAAATCCGATTTTTCTCGCAACAGGGGGTACCTCCCCACCATCGTCGTCCATGCGCCTTGTAACGTTGCGTCGTAGGAACTGGTCGGGATGACCGGCGCCCACGAAGCAGGCCTGGCAAACGAACTCCACGTGCCGTTTGCCATGGTATCGATCGTTGATAACATGGCGAATGGGTTGGGCGACAACTTGACGGTACGACTGCGTGTTGGCGATGCACACGTTTGAAATGTCCCCCATAGCTCGACCAATTCAAGATCGCCCAAAAAAACAACGCGGCCGTGATGGAAGCCGCCGTCGTCCTCATCTTGGATCATTTCGACCCAGCCGTCGCGTTGAACGCTTAGTGGATGGCTGAGAGAGGACGACCTAGTCCTTGTTCGTTGTTTGCACTCGTCGGTCCATTCCACGGAGTCACCTATAGCCCCGTTCGTCAGTAGCGACGAGATGGACTTGTCGGCGGATTCCATGGCGTGCAATGAACAGTTTGACTGCGTGTTGGTGTTCGATGCCTTGGCTGGGGTCGTCCATGCGCCGGGCTGCGGAGGCCAGCGCTAGCATGGCACACGTGTGCGTCCAGTTCGCGTATATCGCCCGTGCTGACCACCCCTGCGAGTCGAGGCGAACATAGACGATGCACCAGATGTACACATACAGTTGAATCGTTTGAAGAGAGAGAGATGCATCGTACGGAGAGCCAAGTTGACCATGATTCTCTTGGCGCCACAAATCACCACCCGAGCGACCGTCGGTCGCGACCGATTCCGTCATGGCGTCGACAGGACCAAGTGCATGCTTTGATTCCACATGCACGGACCACATGAGCAACGTGTCTGAACTCGCGCGACTTGATAACACAACGCACGGCCGCGTCGGGTGGTTCGCCTTGGTCGAGGCACTGGCCAGCGGCTCGAAGACGTGTACAGGTTGCTTACGGATGCTGACCAGCGCTGACTCCTTGGGCCAAATGCCGCGCTCATCCTGGCGTCAGTCGCAGGCCAACCTCCCTGCCCACGGTGCGACCCGCCTCTCGCCGCGGACGGACGCGCATCTTGTACAGTACGTCCACCGTGCGAATCCCAGCCACAGGCACCCCGCAGCCACTCCCTTTCTCCCTCCCGTCCCCCGACCGTCACCGACATCCCGGCATTGGCTGTAAACCAGTGGCGACAAGCCGTGCAACCAGCACCTCACACAACAAGTTTCACGGTAGTTGTCCATTGAATGGAGCATAAATAGAGATAGGTTCAACGAGGGGGTGGCCGGGCTACGGAAACCGGACGAGGTGGGGGGCCGGCGGCGGCGGCGGCGTCGAGGACGAGGTCGTGAGATGGGGATACCGCACCGGCCATCGCGTCGTTGCGACGCAAAACAATTGGCTCTGTGCCTGGCGGACGGCATGCGACGCAGCGGCATCGGTCACGCGGATGTAAAAGCCGTCGCCAAGCACGCCCCACGGCACTCGTTCAAGGACAAACCAGCCCGAGTTGGGGGCACACGCCGTCAGGACGGTCGAGACCGCCGATCCGACTTGGCAAAGCTCGATGCGGACATTCTGCACTTGATCGTCCCGTACTGTCCACTCAATGCACACTGGACTTCCTCGAATCCATGTCGTCGAGTGGCAGGGGTACCGCACCTGGACAAACGCACTGTCTGGGTCTAGCCGATGCGGGGGGAGCTTGCACCGCTTGGCGGGTTCCGCAGCGGTCGCGTCTGCGCTGTGCCAGGTCAACGGCCGGCGCGCCGTGTGGCCGCACGGCCGCGTGGATTGTGCGCCCATTGAACGAACGGAGTGAAGTCGGTGTCGTAGCCGAGCCTGTGCGACGCCAAAACCACAATGCGCCTCGTGTTCCACGATCGCGATGAGGTTGTCCAGCGCAGCGTCGACAAACCCAACTTTGATTGGGTCACGCACCACATGCGCAAGCACAGGGGGCCGGGTCTCTGTCGCACACATGCGATGCGCCAGTACGTGAATCTTCGCGACGACAGCCGGTCGGACCGTGTCGCAACGAAGGCGAGGCCGTCGCCATGGTGGACGAATGGCCGCGCGCCACCGATGCGTGGCTTTCTCCCTCCACCCGCCAAGAGCGTCGGAGCGAGTCCCGACGCGCTCGACGGGAAGTGCGGTGCATGGTAGAACTGTACGGTATTTCATCCACGCGATCAGAAACCGTAGTGTTTGTGTCGTGACTTGCCCAGCGCGAGTCGTTGCAGGCGCAACGACCGCCGCGTAGGACGAACTCGATCGTGGCGATCGTCGCGGGATGCGTGCATCGTCGCAGAGGGCGGGCGGTAGCGCTTGGCCGAGTGGTTTGTTGGGGCGAGAGAGAAGGCGCGGCGGCCTACTGTATGTAGTGTGTACGTAAAAATATATTCCAAAATCTCGCACGCGCGGTCAAACATTTCGTGGATTTTGGTGGAGTTTTGGTCGATTTTTCAGCGATCCGTGCCAAATTGGGCAAGTTTTTGCCCACCCAAGCGAATTTCGAGGTCAAAAAAGCCGACGAAAATTTGTTTACCTACCAGAACCGCCCAAACAGCGGATCCCACTGCCGAGAATGGCGAAGGGCGCATGCGCCATGGCGGCTGCCAGCCCCGTTGATGCTAAGATCCATGGATCTTCTGTTTGGTTCTGTCGTGCGGAGGGAAGGCCTGCGAAGTCTTGGTGGTGCAGCTCGAACAGCTGCCGTGGCGCCTGTGTTCGAGCGACCTTTGGTGGACCACGATGGCGTGGAACCCAACACGGATGGAACCATCCGACGGATCCGATCGGGCTTGATCGACGACCAACAGAGATATCGTGGCCGTACCTGTCGCCTTTGGCTATGCACTCACGCTTCGATCCCAGACCGAAATCCTCGTGGGTGGCCAAATGGGTTGTGCACGGCGCAACGTGCAACGACAACAGCACGTCACCTGTGAGGCTGGTAGCCACCCGCGCTCGACAGACGTCCACGAAGAAGTGGAGCGCGGTGAGTGTGGAATTTGTGACCGGCATATCGCTCGCCCGCGCGGCCGTTGGTGCGGCCAGAGTGTGCGGCAGCAAAGACATGGTTTCGCACCGGCTGTGCCACCCACTCGACCCAGCCTAGATCAACGAAACGAGCTTCCGAGTACGAGTAGCAGGTTGTGGCGCATGCGGGGCTTTCATTGATGCTGCAGGGTTTTTGCAGCGTCCCGAGGGCGTGAGGTACCATGGTGACCAACTGGGCTGTTCTTGCCAGCGTAAATTAGAATAAAATAGTTTCGACACAACGAACGAAAAGGGGGTTGCCGGTGGCGGCGGTCAATAGCAGCTCGTAACTGGGCGATGATGGGACACTGGCGTGTGCTCCGCCTGCCACCTCGACGACATCGGGGACGGCGACCGCATCGACGACGCACGGACGCTCAGTGGGGTGAGCGACCCTTCACTTGACGTGTCGGGCCACCTCGAATTGCCGACGCGGAAGAGTTCGCTGAGCGCTTCGCGAGGCGTTCCACAGCCTTGGCCAGGAATCAACTCGACAATACGAATGTAAAACCCTTCGCCAATCAAGCCCCATGGGACTTTCGAATAGACAAAGCATCCTGTGTTGGGCGCGGACGCGGTAAGGAGCGTCGTCGCCGTGGATCCCACCTGGCACAGCTCGATCATCACGTACACGGCCGACATGTCCAAGACGGTCCACTCGACGGCGACGGGATTGCCTCGAATCCACGTGCTGGTGTGACAAGGATATTTGACCTGTGCCAGCAGCGGCTGCACGCGCTTGTGTGGCATTGAAAGGTGCTTCACCGACACATCCGACGTTGTGCTGAAGGTAGGTTGGAGCGATGGCATCCGTCGGCGCTGGTCGTGCTTGAGGTCGGCAGTGCCTGGCATCGCTGTAAACGCAGGGACGGCAGTCGAGTGGTGGCACCCCATCTCGTGGCAATTCAAAAATGCCGCACGAACGGCAGACGGCGGCGGCGGTGGCTGTGCCAGGTGCTTTCGAAATCCAGTCCATGGTGGACGACGCAACCGTGGTCGTCAGCCTGACCAGGTTCGACGAGTATACTTTAATCAAGTGAACCCATTGTTCGGTGAGTGCGTGTCGCGTGCATTGCATCCATCCATACTTTAATCAAGCTTTGGTGCGGCGATGCATCCCAGGACATGATGCACATTGTCGTCGCTTGGCGCACCATCCAGTCGACGTGAACGACTTGCGTCAATCTGGTACTGTCACCATACAAACCCGTATACTAATAAAACAAGTACAATTTTCAGAGCATTTTGGGATTTATGTGTTTTTCCCAATATTGTGCTCACGTCCCATCCAGGGAACGATACAATTATTCGAGCGAGAGAACTTGCGATGTCATGTTGCATAGAGTCGTCGCGCGGTCCCATGAGGGCCGCGCAGAGCATGCGCCACCCGGCACTCCATGTGCTCAAAAGGCTGCGGCTAAGATGATGCTATTTGACCGTGAAGACGCAAGCAGGGTGCCGTCAATCCACCCCAGGTCACTTGTCAAGTGCAAATCTGACATGAGCTGGTGTGAGCCATTTCCATGCCATGCCATCATCATGCCGCGACCTGATTTTTTTTGCTGCCCAGCTAGTTCGGAGCAGTGGGAGTTGAAAAGGACGCTCGAGTCTGCTCCTCTCTCGTGGTCCCATACCAACGCCCTTAAAGCAGACGTACCGTACAACACCATGCTTTGATCTATGGAGAGGCATGTGGATCACTTCCATTACGCAGGCGACAGACTACCCGCGCATCACGTGGCATCACGACTTGTCGCATGCCAAGGGAAAGAGGGGGCAACGAAGGGGACGAGACCTCCCTTAGGACCGCACATACACAGGATGGTCTTCACGATGCGCTTTCCCAGCCATTCGTCGAGAGTGGCTAGTTTTGGTGTTCCTCCGGCCGGCGCACGTGCGGTCCGCGTGTGCGGCTCGCTGGACTGTGACTAACACGTTGAGTACCTCAAACAGTACTGTACCCAGTACGTACCCTTGTCGTCAGCTCCGGCAGCCTTTGCTTTGTGATGGTGTCTATTGGAGGGATACAATGCCATGCATAGATTCAATCGATGATCCAGGCTATATTGTTTTGCGCTTGCCCAGCAGATGCGCCGTTCCCTGCGATCGTGGCCAGATCGAACAGCGCGTAACAAATTCCGCACGCCCTGGCGCCCGGCCCGGTCATCGCGTCAACCAGGCGTGTTTTTTTGTAGTTGGGAAGAATGTGTAAATCCCGGCAGGATCGTGAGCCAGGCTGTCATCCATTGCGGACGACCATCTTATTAAAAACGAAGCTCGCGACGATCGTCATGGAGTCGTGTTGTTGAGAACAGGGTCCCCAGTACGAAAGTGCGCCACGCACGTACACTGTGCAAAGGCGGCGGCTGTTGCACGCGAGTGTCGCCATCGGCAGACCAGGACACGGTAACGTCGACGACTGGTGCGTGGCAAAGAAGGTGGCAACCCCAAGCGAGCTGCCCATGCTGCTACGCGGTTGGCCCCTCCCCAGCTCGCATCATCCCATCGTTCACGCGATCGAGCTTGTCCCACAACACATGCTCCAAGCCAGCCGCCGTCTCGCCGAGTACAGAAACACGCACAGATCATGTAGTACTCGTATGAAGGCTGATGTCGACATTACCCCACGTCGCTTGCCCTTCCCGACGCACGAACGGTTGTTGCACTCGCGCGTCTTTGCCGGCCATGGGCTCATCTGGGGTAACTAGACGGAGGGAGACGAATCCTTCGGCGCAGCGTACCCGCACGTCTTCTGGTCCCGGTTGCACCCACGAATCGTGAAACGGAGCACAGGGCCGGAATCCGGATAATAACCGAATGCGCCGTTTCGACAGGTGGGCACTAAAAATACCCCGCAGCGCCGCGGGGAATTTCGCCTCGCACACAAGATGAACCGCAAGATCGGGTTCGACAATCGGCTGTGCTACCAGCGCGAAGTCGCCCGATGCCAGAAGATTCATCAAGACAAGCTCCGCCACATCCAGCCCACGTCGTTGTCGCCGGCAAAAGGCAAACTCGACAACACGGCGCCGCAACAGCACGCCCACTTGAAGGCTAACTTCAAGAAAGCTCAAATGGACTCGGACAAGTACAAACAAATTTACGGTGAAAACCAGCAACTGATGCGTAAAATGCTCAAGATCTGTGACGCGGCGCCGTCCGACGCAGCAGTCGAGTTTCGTCCTGGCATGCGCCTCAACACGGACCAAACCCCCCTCCTCGACTCGTACGTGTCAGTGCAATCCCTCACACGCGGCTGCGCCATCGACAAAGGCAGCATGAACGGCGAGTTCCGCCAGCGCCAGAACGACAAAATCGAAGAAGAAAACAGAAAGCTGATGCACCGCCTCATGACGAAAAAGTCATGCTACAGCGCTCGAAAATGGGACGCCGTGCGTGCTTTCCTTTTTTGATTGCCACGAGTTCATCGTGGGCGGGTTCACTTGTTTAGGAGTACAAACAATCCCTCAGGAAGTTCAAGCACGTGCACCAGGACGCCACCGTGGGCTATTTGTCTCCCAAATCACGAGCAGTCACAGCGTGTGCTGCCGCCGCATCAACCTTACCAAGCCTTGGAAACCCTCACCCCGACGCGGCCACGGACTCTGCCGAGAATACCAGCCCGCCGTTGTCGCCGTCTCCGCCGCCGCCATGTGGTCATATGGACGGAGGAGGACGGGCAAGGTCGACCACTGGATGTACCCACCGGTCGTCTGCATTCATTCGGCAAGCCAGCAAAACCCAAGTGCCGCCCTCGCGAAAGTCTGAATCAACATCGTTCATGGTCGTCAATGATGAAAATCCTTCTTGTAGACAAACGTACAGAACCAAATGCGTGCCAGTGCTGCTCTTGGAAGCAACGACATCGATGGGAGTGCACTTTACCGTGGAGGAGCTGCAAGTTGCGATGGTGACCCCGTCCGCTACACGACTGGGCGACTTGTACGTGAGAATATCGCTCGTCTGAATGCATCGCCGTTCACTTTGTGCATGTGTGCGGTGACGTAGGGGGTTTCTGTTGAGGGCAAAGAAGGATGCGAACGAAGGCGAGTCGGTCGTGCCTTTGAAGGGCCTTGTCGACGTGGCGCAGTCGCTTCCTCCCGCCGACGGCCGCCCAATCTTGTAGTCACCATTCCTGCTACGACACGGCGGCTGGCTCACCGTCTCGCGGACCGTAGGGCCAAGCTTGCCACGATCGAAGCCATTCCAAACGTTGGCAACTTTCCACGAGTGTCGCAGACGCTGGACGAGTCGGATCTGAAGCTGGTGCTCGTCAAGCTCGTACAATGCATTCGAGTGAGCAGCATTCATGGCGCCACGGACGCCGCCGCATCACTCAAGCTCACGGTGGAACACATCGAGCACCTCCGACGCGACTTGCAACCAGCAGCGGGGAAGTTGACGGTCGCGAATTCGTCCATCTTGGACCTGATTGCCCAAGGCATGGTACCCCCGCGCTTCGTGCTGCGAGGGAAACGGGCCACAATCCACCTGTGCCACGCCCGAGTGTTTCAGCTACGCCGCCTCCTCACGTTCCATGCGTTCGACGTGCGCACGCACAACGTCGTCAATTTTCAGTTCACTGAGGAAGACCTCCTCCCTCACTTTCACATCTCGCCCCTCTGGCCTGACATCTATCGAACGCTGTTTAAGCTCGCCATGAAACGTATTCGAATCTAGACTTGTGTCGGTGGAGTTTGCAGCGCTATCGATGTCCATGCCTCTGAAAGGGCATACGGTCAGTGGCCCGTGGTCCCCGCAGAACCAATGTCCATGCCGAGGACTTCGCAAGGGGAGGGAAAAGGCGCGTCGAGTCGCACGAAAAGAAAGACGCGTTCATGGCCATCGAGTAGCGAAATGACAACATTGTAGCTGTGTTGTTGGAAGGCGCTAAGCTGTGGCGTACTTTGCCTGTACTTTTCCGAGTAATTCGAGCTCCTTGCCATAGAAGGCATCGAGTTGCCCATCGATTTTGTCGAGCCGTTCAGGCGCATATGCTGTGTAAATCGACACAAGTTGTGCTCGAACATGTGCTTTGATTCCGTCGTGATACTCTCTGAATGTCAAAACAAAGCGTGAGTTGCACAGCTCGTCTTGGATTCCTTACAGCATCTGCGGCTTGATCCGGTCGAAGAGAGCTTCGTATGCAGCTTTATGCGCATCGAGTTGTGACGCTACGGCTGGCTCACCGGTTGTGAGACTCAAGTACGCTGCCCATGCCAATGAAATTCCCGATTCGTTGTCGACGTTTGTTGCATTCAAGTCGGCACCGACCTCGACAAGCGCGGCGGCACTAGCGGGATCGAACTGTCGAAGCGCAAGGATAAGCAAGGAGTCACCATGCTTGGCGATGTTGAACGTTGGCGAGGCCCATGCAGCGGCACGCGAGTCGAAGAACCCTGGTCAAGAAAGTGTGCGACGTCGAGAAACGCACGCAACGACAGAGTGTACCTTCACCGGCAAAGTCAAATGGCGCACCGCCTGGACATTTCTCAACGGAACTATTGACGCACGCATCAGGGAGCTCCTGGAATACTTCTTTTAAGCGCACGTGGTCTCGTTGTTGCAGCGCATGCAGTGCCTCCATCGCCCATCGATCCTTGACGAATTTCATCGAAAGGTCGCCGGCTGTAAATAGTACTAATGGTCATAGTAGTACTGTACTACTGCGATACTATTAGTAGACTTCCTCGATTGACCGGATAAGGAAACCCATTATCCGGCTACACGAGGCACAACCAGAATGGAATTCTCGTCGACATGGACGACTACCGACGCACTCGAGCTCGCGCAGTCCTCGCACGGACGGGAGCTGCATGTGTTCGTACCGCAAGTCCTGAAGCTGTGCAAAACGAAGGAAGATCTGTCCTGCACTGTTTCAAGTATGTTATTATTGAAATGAAGTTGTCGTATCTCATGCGCGACTGTCGCCAAGTCATGTTTCCCAGTGCGCTCAAGCTGCTGGACGTGACGATTGACAGCTCCGCGCGCCACGTAGAAGTCTATATTGTATCTTGCAGCCCGACAGGTGAGCGGCAACCCCGGTACGTCGACACTGTCCGCGGGATCAAATTGGACGACAACTTGTTCCACGTGGCGTATGCCTTCTCCAACATGGAAGAGATGCAAGTTGGGTCTGGTGTGTCTTTCAAATTTGTATCGTTGCAGCCGCCTCAGTTGAAGGATGTTCTCACGTTGGGCGAACTCAAAGTTCGCGTGCATCCCTCGGTGGTAACGCCTAGCGTCCAGTCTCCATCAGCCCCACAGACCGCCACGCCGTCGGTTCCGGACCTCTCTCCAAGTCGACCCTCCGCGCCTCCCATTGACATGGACACGATGAAGATGATTCTTTCGATGCAGCAAGCCATGCAAAAACAAATGGAAGACAAGATATACAAGGCAGTCGACGCGCGATTCACTCAATTGGCGGCACGGCTGCAGTCGACCGAGTCCAAAATCCAATCGCTGGCGGTCAGCATCCCGAAAGCCGAGGTCAAGCAGGACAAGGAAACTTTCGCAGGGATTTTGAAGCGGCTTGCGGCCCTCGAAAAAGATGTTCGAGGGTTGAAGGCGTTCAACGACAGCGGTGAGTTGTCGGCAGCGTTGCAGGAACTCCACGTTGTTTCGACGGAGAAGGGTCACGATCATGACGAGGTTCCCACGGAAGGCGAAGCGTTTCGAGACGACCCAGCGCTAGCCACCGCGACGTCGAGCACTGCCATCGTGTCCCTCTCGTAGCAGATTCTCAATCGTGACAAGAACTGCGAGCAATTTCATTCGCTGGGAGATTCTTTTTAACCAATCCGATTTCGTATGTGGACGCTGTCTTCATTTGATTGGCTGATGTGCCCGATTCAAATTTGAGCCAATGAAATGGAGGCATTTTGTTTACGAGCAATTTTTGCATCAACTTGGCAGATCAGCATGGAGTACCTGCAAGGGGATCGACGGCAGTATGGCGGCAGCAGCGACGGCAGCGCTGAAGGAAACGAGTATGAACGTGAACAATATTATCCCCATCGCTATGCAGAAGCGCATGCGCCTGCCTCGACCGACATGCACAGCGCGAGAGACCCCATCATGTCATGTACTTGGCCGAGTGAAGACCCGCTCGACGTCATGTACATTCCAAACACAGGTGACGTGTGGCTGCGTCAGCCTTCACATTGCGTGCGGCCTGCGCAGTCGGAAGTGCCTTGCTCCATCACAAGTACGTTGCTCCATTCATGCAACGTCGAGTGTTGATTGTGTGGATGCTGCATGCACAGTTGAGTTTGGATATGTGCCACAGCACGTCGTTAAAATGGACATGACAACATCGGCGCAGTATCTCGAAGTCTACGTCGGCCATCGCACCCTCAATGGGGACCTGCGCTTCGTCTTCGGCGAGACAGCTTTCGGTGTGCCCGACCAGCACGTGCCCGGACGCTTCCGCCTTGACTACGCATGTCCCGACTCTCCCCCGTTTCAATCGATCGCCGCGATCTCGTTCAAGTTTGCGGAAATCGGCGACGACGCCGTGCTTGCTCTGGATGCGTTCCGGTTGACAACCCAGTCCGTGTACCCCACGACGTCGAGCCAGTTGAGTCCACAAGTGCGAGTGACGCGGGCGCACTCATGGCGGCCATCCACTGACCATCGCGATTCGCATGGCACAGCGTCCATGACGCTGCGGTCCCAAAAGCGGATTCCGCCGACAACCCGCCCGCACAACTCACCGCATCATCTTCCAGATGCAGAGCTGAATCTCTCGACGTACCCTCCGTCGGGTCATTCGTCCCTTCCAAGCCGCCATCCACAGCCACACCACCACTCACCCCGCTATTCGAATCGCCATCATCCATCCCGAGGTTCCGTGACGCATGCATACCCTCCATCACACCATCGGCACCACCACCACCCGCCGCCTTTGTTCGTCGACCCCACGGCGCCGTCCAAGAGCTTCCGAGAAGATGCCCATTATCGGCAATCGTCCTTGTCTCCTGCAAACTCATCGCACATTCCGCTTCACCACTCCGCTTTAAACCGACAGAGCCCACGCCCCCGGCATCCATCCAGCCCACGACCGCCACCTCCCAACCACGCCGAGGGGCTGTCGGCCATGAACACGATTCTCGAGTTGCAGAAGAAGATGCTCGAAGACCTCGAAACACGCATCTGTGCCGCCGTGGACCTCCAACTGAATCAAGTGCTTCAGCGACTAGATGCTGCCGAAGCCATCGTCGACGACCTCACGACCCGCGTCGACTCGATCCACCAAGACAAAGACATTGTGTTTGCCGGCATCATGCATCGCTTAAACAAGCTGGACACGGGCATCATTCAGCTCCGGTCGGCGCAAGTTCAAACAACCAAGGCTGTGCAGTCGGCGATTCAAAACGTCAAACAGTCGGTGGCAGCGCAGCGCAATTCGCAGTCTGACGCCGACGACTCGTCCAGTCTCTCGACGTCGTCGCTGCATTCCGTGCAGTGGCAGCAGCTCAACCCCTCGCCTCCGTAGTCTTGTTGTGCCCCACACAAACGAATAACACTTTGGAATCGGCTGGGTAGCTGCAATGTATCGTACCGCGCACTCGAACAGGGTGTGTTGCGGGAGGGTTCGCGATGGCGGCACATGGGGGTACCAGAGGGGACTGCGGTTGGGAGAGCGGCGGGGCCGTCAACTAGCTCGGCTGGTCCAAGACAACAATTCAAAGGGGTGCTGGTGTCATGATCGGCCGGCGAGGCCGTTCTAGCGTCATACCACGGGGCGCACTCGTACGGCCAAGGGTAGCCGCGCTTCGTCCAATGCTTTCGACGTGGTGGTGGCAGGCGTGGAGCGGGATGGATGGTGATGGAGAACTGGAAGCGACTCGTTGGCATTGTGGGCGATGCCTGGCGGAGGAGTGTGGTGCATTTGGCCGGTGCTCCCTTGTGTACGTGTCGTGGGCTGTTGATGTGTTGTGTCTGGTTTGCGTGGCTGCAAGGACTTGCTTTCACGCACGACGGCAGGTCCATGGCCCTGGAACGTCGACGGCACAGCATCTTTCTCCATGTCGAGAAGCTGTGGCAAGGTTGGCCGGTCCAACAAGAGCGGCATACGGGCGGCAGGCAAATGGGGTGCTTGGGACGGTCGCTGAGGCGTTCGCACGGGCGACGCACGCAGCTCAGCCTCCACCGGGGGAGCTTGCAAGTCCAACGCGGGAATTCGACGATACCGGCGAGGCAGCAGGTGCTTTGTGGCCCCCGCTGGACGGGGAGGAAGCTGGGATATCATGGCTAAGTGGTGCGCTGCCAACTCAATCACGTCGTGGGACGGCGGTGGTTTGGCATGTCGCGGAGGGTTTCCACTATGGACGTCATCTATGTCGTTGGGGGGTAGCATGGCGCTAGCTTCGGCATCCAACTGCCCTGTTCGACACCGAGACATGATGGGGGAGGCGATTCGAGGGCCGGCGCAGTGCGATGGAATACCTGCCCCAGGTGTCGACGGCGCCAGGTCTGCGACGAGCTCGGACGATTCTTTGTGAATCTCGGTGGCTTTTCGCTTGAGCTTGGCAGGGGAGTCGTTGGCGGCAGGATTCGTAGGCATGGCTGTCGCAGGGGCAACCGGAGGCTTTGTATCGAGGATCCCGAGACGAGGCGGAGTGCGCTTTCGCACAAAGCTCTGCCGCGGTTTGTTTTGAAAGGCTTTGCGGATTTCATCGATGCGGTTTGCATTCGAATCTTCCGCAGGAAGCGTCGCCTTGGTCAAGGCCCCCACCAAAGTCACGCCAATAGGTGCTAGCACGGGCTTGGGGCGCGCGACTGGCGCCGTCAAATCTCGCGACGACTTGATCTTGAAGCCACCAAACTCGCGTTCTAGCATTGTATTTGTCAACGATTGCCACTGACGAAAGGGCCGAACACGTACGGTCGAGAGGCGCTGTTTCTTTGACAAGCTTCGCTAACCCACGACCTGGGGCAGGTTGCGAGGCCGCGACAAGGCGCTGGCTATCTGGAAGAAGTCGAGACATCGAAGCATGTTTCTCGAGCACAGGCGACGCGCCATGAGACTGTGTTGAGGGTTGCATCTCTAAAGATCTTGCTGAGGTCGAGCCAGGCAAGTTGACGAGACGATGGCGTACGACAAAGGCTCGAGTCCGACGCAGTTTGGAGCGTCGACGACTTGGGAGTGCCATTGCACCGAGGAAGGGTGGGTGGGTCGTCCCCCCATGGTGCTAGAGACGGCAGCGACGTCAAAAGATGCCGATCGCTGTCGTCCAGGGCAAGGGGGCGCGGGGGTGAGTCCATATGCAGGTTCGGATTCATTGCCACGATGACAGGATCGTAGCGATCTGGCGGGAGGGCGGCCGTGGACGCTGGAGGAAGCACTGCATGCGATTCTACCATCAAGAATGCATTCATGGCGGTGGAGTGCCCATCGCACGTACGCGCTGGAGCGGACAACGCTGAATCTGCTATGGATCGGAGCCCCGAGCGACCCTCCATCGCATCCGCCACGGCAGCCACATCCGCTGCGGTACGCCCCCTCGCCTCCGTGTCGGTTGCCGCCTTGTCGATCCCTTGTTCGCGATCGAGGGGGCATCGCAGGTCCAGTTGCGTCGACGATGCGACGACTTGAGCTTTGCCATCGGGCACAGCGTCCACGGGCTCTGACAAGGGCACGGCGTTGAAACCTGTGTTCCAAACACGGCATGGGCTACCGATGATCATGGTGGCCATGATCGACTCGATGTCGTGGACGGTCCGTTGGAGGGCAGCGTCGACAACGTCCGTGTACAAAATTTCTAGCGGACGGCGCACCACAACGACACGATGAGCGCCCGTGCACGTGTCTGCACGGACCTTCGAGGGGCCGCAGCTTAAACGTCGCGCTGTCCACTCGCGTGATGCCTTCCAAGATCAAATAGAGCAACGAAATGTACTAGCAGCATTGTGGTCATCCTTTGGCCACGAAACGAGCACAAAAGGTGGCCGTACGTCGGCCACGTGGATGGAATCGCACCAAATGTCTACGTCCAAGTGGATGATGACGACGCTGGTCAAGGCATCGTACCGACGAGCTCAAACAGCGCCAGGTGGAATTCCGCGTACGAGAGAGCTGCCTTGCCTTTCGTGTCGCTGTCCCAGTCGTGCTAGAATTGAACGAAACCACGTCGGTCCGCCGAGGATGGGGTCGAGAGCAGCGTGCATGGTCACCTGGATTTGAACAAACGACATGTCGGCATCAAAATGCTCCATCAGGATCTTATGCAGCCGAATGAGAAGCGTGGTGTAGCCATCAAAGTCCATGGGCGACGACGTCCTACACACGAGGCGCCACAGCGCGCACGTGAGTCGCTGGAGCAATGGATGGTTGCGAATGGCGAGGCGCCGCGCCAAGTTTTCCTGCCATCGACGTCAATCAAATCGGATGGACGAGAGATGACGGAGGGCACCTCGGAGTAGTACGCCATGTTTCCCTGGCGCTCGTACGACGCATGCACGTCGACTTCCAACTGCACGACCCTGCACACGGACGACAGTTGGTAACATCATGCGGCCGGCGGTCGCGGTTACCCTTCCAACACGAGCCGCAGCGCGTCGTGGCGAAGTTGCTGGGCATTCTTGGTCGAGATGTCCTTGATCGTCAAGACCTGTCGGCCGCCATCACCACGTGTCGCCATGGCGGGGCATCATCGGAATTGCAAGTGCCCAACTATTTATACCTTGCATGGCTTTTCAGCGCAGTTTCGTCGATGGAAGGGGGGGGGGCTGGCGAGAGGTATAACCTGCGGCTCGTTCAGCAGCACAGCAGTGTGCGTCAACCCACGACGGGTCGGAGCTTGAGGTCTCGCCATCGCTGAAGGCGGTGGTACAAAGCGTCCCCGTTTCATTCGACGGCTGCCGCCGCCGCAGCATAAAAGACGAGGGAATCGAAGGACTGATTTACATGACACGGGGACGGCGTATCATCACCGCGGTTTCCCAATGGCGGTGGCAGTGACGACACCTACGCCGTTTCCTACGGGGGACGACACGCCGGTCGATGGCGGGGGTGGCTTTTTCCCTGGAAGATGTCGAGGGGTCGGCGATGGAGGTTGTGCTTTGAACGATGTGGGGGCATTCAGTGCATGGATGCTGAATTGGAGGTTGGCTAGGTTGCGGTCGTATTGCGGCGGCTGCGTCGTGGCGCCATGGAACGCTTCAGGGGATTGCTTGGCTTGGAGGGGAGTTGCGGTCGTCGCGCTCAGTCGTCGAGCGACGAGCTGGCCATCAAATGCCATGTCCCGCTCAACTGTCTGGCTTGTGAGATGCAAAAGGAGGCGCTGGCCGCCGCGATAAAGCTTTGAATATGCCGAGGGACTCCCGAGCCGCAAATCTGTCTCTCGCATGGTTGGGGAAACCGGGGGGCCGGAGATGGACGTGGGAGCTGAAGCGTTGGACGGAGGGCGGGCGTTGCCAAACGATATAGCCGCTAGGTCTTGCACCATTTCAGACGCAAAGGTTTCCGCTTGCTTGACCAACTGCCTGCCTCGTTTCGTGCCGCCCCCCACCCGGTTGTCAAACTGTGGTGCCGTCGAATACGCAACACGGTTGTCAAATGGCGCCGTCGCGAAGCGGTTGTCGCGGTGTGCGGATGTCGCTGGCGAATTCTGAACTGTGGGGGATCGAAGGTCGTCTAGCTTGAGCCCCCCTGGTGGATGTGCCGAGGTTTCGGGCTTTGTTGGTGAAGACGTTATCAATCCCCCCTGGTCTCGCTGCTTCGGTGCCATGACAACCCCCCCAGTGGGTCGGATCGAGACGTCTTTTGGAGGCTTGTACGTTGGCTTGCCTCCGAGAATTCCAATTCCGTTGCCGGTGAGAGGCCCCATGTTCATGGTCGGCCCCGAACTCGCCAAAGAGTTGATGGACCGACCGGCGTCCAGCAGCATGGCATTTTCGGTATGCCCCCCGAGCCCTGTGATTGAAAAGGCCGCGCTTCCTTGGTCCGATCCTGGGGGGGGGATGCCTTGTCCAAACCGATCGTTATGGCCAGGCCGTTTGGGCTTCCACACGGGATGGCCCCGTGGACTTTTGGCCCCCGCTACAAACCCCCACGCATCCTTGTGTCAGTCCCAATGGCACTTTCTTGTGCAATCTAGTGTGCGCATACCAAGGCTAAACACGGGCGGGCGGCTCGCGTACACGCTGCTGCCGTGGGTCGCATCTCCAGGATGCGCTTGCGCCTCTAAGGGGTCGTCGTTAGCCAGTCGCTCCAATGACCCATGCGTTCAAAACTCGGTTTCTCGTACGGGGAGGGGGCGTTGGGTCTATGCGCATCAAACCCACAATCGCAATGAACGAATCGTCGCAAATATCGTCCACCATTACCTTGTTTGGGAGAGGGTTGCGCGGGTGCGAGTGAGGATGGAGGAGTTCCTGAACCGAACATCACACTAAGCGAACTGGGTCTACCGTCGTGCTGAATACCTGCAGGAATCGACGAAAACCCCGAGATGGACTTGATAAAGAACCCAGAGGACGTCGTCGGGGCCTCTGCCAAGACTTTTTGGTACGACGTCTTTCGAGGCGACGTGGGGTCTTTCAGATTTGGATTGTATGCCACGGACCGCTTCGAATGAACAGGTCGGGCAAGTGTTGAGCGGCGAAGAGTTGGCGTCGGTGCATCCACCTTTGTCATGTCGCTGTGAAAGGCCGAGGTGGCATTGGCGAGCACGTTGGCCATGTCGGTCGGCTGCACCGCCTGGCTCATGTGTCGACCTGGCGATGGATGGATGTGGTGATTCGACGAGGAATGATGAGTGGTCAATAGCGCGTCAAGCAAGGGGGATGCAGGGGCCTCGGAAGTGTCGGATGCAGCCCAAGTCGTGACCCGTGCGGATGCGTCCACATCGTTTCGTGGATTTGGCGCTTGCGGCGTCGTTCCAAACAAGTCGACATCAGGTCGAGGAGGGTCTGCGGGCTCTCGCGCGGGAATCGCTAGAGCCATTGCTACGGTCATTTTCGCACACCAATGCCACAATTGAAGGCGCACCGTCTGGTCGAAAGGTAGTGGCTGCCGTCGCGTGGGTAGCGGCGAGCTTCACTTTGTGGAGCTTTGTCGGTCGAATGTCATGGTGCTCGAGTTGGTTCATCCTCCCCGACGGAATATTGAGCGTCATGTCGTCGTCGTGGGTATGGTTGGCCGTCAATATCTCGGTCGTCCCCGTTGTGCCGGCCGTCGGGGATGCCGGGGTGAGGTCTGGAAGGAGTGCATGCCGCGCAATGACAAGCCCACCTCGCCAAGGTAGGTGGCACGTACCACCTTGGACGACTACGGGGGCGACTGCCGTTGCCATGGCGTCCGCCGCCTCGGCAGCAGATATGGCTGCCATCTCGGCTTCGAGCGCATCCAATTCGAGTTCGATTTGAGCCGGTGTCCGTGGCTTCAGGTGGAGCTCCTCGACCACATCTGCGTAGTTGATGTCTAGTAGCGTCTTGAGAACAAGACTGGAACCGATCGGGACGCTACCTTGCAGTCGTCGCAGCCGAAACGTCCCCGACTGCATGTGCGCAATGCCGTTCATGAGCAAGTAGAGCAAGTTGCAATACTACCCACAACGTGGCGTCATGGTCAACTAGGCGTTGGCACCGCGCTTACGTCGTCCGGTTTGAGGGAATCACACCAGATATCGATGAGCTCAAACAGCGACAGGTGAAATAGCTCGTAGGTCAGGGCATTTGTCGCGTTTGTGTCGCGCACCCAGTCCTCTCGGATGAGGACTTTGGACTCTTCAACGTCGAAGAGCTCGATCAGAACCTTGTGGATGCGGAGGAGGATGCCTTGGTACCCATCGAAGTCCATCGAGATGGCGGCGGGATGGCCCGCCATGAGCCAAAACATTTGCGTGAGGCGGCACAACAGTGGGTGTACACGTAGCCCCAGCCGTCGCTGCAGGTTCTCCTACGCACGACCGCGGCGTTCAGAGCCGATCGGTACACAAAACGCGTCGCTTACGTCCGTGTAAAACTTGAGGTCGCCCTGCCGGTCGTACGATACGCGCTCGCCTTCGGCCAGTTCCGTCTTGACCTCGCTAATGACGCCAAGGATGAACAAAGTGGGCAAAGGGATGTTTAGTACCCGTCGGCGACGAGCCGGATCACAGCCTGTCGGATCTCTTCGACGTGGTTTTCGTGCCCCAGGAGCTTGGGCACGGCACCCGAGACAGACACTGCGTCCTCGTCCATCGAGAACTTCTTGACTGCCTTCGCCGCGCTCGACACGGTGCACGCAATGCTGCGCATGGACCCGATGGACTTTTTCAGTTGAAACACCATCGTGTTGCGAACAGTTTGCCGCAACGTGTCGCCGCCGTGGTGCCCCACCGACTCTTTGGACAACGTTGTGCGCAATACGTGGTCCACGATCGATGGCTGCTTTGTCATGGCCTGGCGAACATCTTTGATCGACTTGAGGCGCTCGAAGCAGCCGGGCTTTTGCGGCCGCGGCGTCGCCGTATCGATAAACGACATACGGCAATGTCGCCCTGCCGCGGGGGTGGCCGAGGCGGAGGTGGGATCGCCGACACGGGGCGTGCTGTCCCGAATGCGCTGGTAAAAATAGCCATCCGTTTCAGCACAAGGTGGCATTGTCAAGAATGGTCATGGCAGACAAGCCAGACGACGACGGCTCCGACTCTGGGGACGACGAAGACGTGGAGCCGCATCCGTTCAGTTCAACAACCACAGCCACAACGCACCAAGTCGTAGTGGCCGCACAGTCCCCGGGCGCCCCCCATGTTGTGTTTTTCCCCTACCCAGCCTACCTCAATATGACGAGGACCGTCCCGTCAGACACAACAGGTTGGGGCAATGTTTCGATGGCTCCCCACAAAGGAGAATCGTGATGAGTCACGGCGTTGGTCTAGTGGAGGCCTGGCTGCCAGATAAGACGATTCGATATCACGGGACTCGGCGATACCTCTACAACGCCGTGAAAAACGCCCTGAAAGCTGCCCACGGTATAGTGTTGTGTGCCATGCCTCGACCGATTTAAAACGTCTCACGTGTGTGCATGGATATAGCTGTCGACACGACCAAGCGCGACTGGAATTTGTTCTGGGGGTTCGTCGGGACTGCGGGCCGCATGGATTGACCTTTTTGTTTCTAGCCGACACTTGGAACCCAACCAATATGCTGCTTTACGTCCAGGTCAAAAGGTCCGTTCTTCGGCATGACAGGGACATCGAGTCACGTGGAGCTTGACTACTAGGTGAACCACTTTCCCGGGAGTTTGGAGCTGGGGCGCAAGGACAAGCTGTGCCAGAACATCCTTCGCATGCAGCGCAAGTTTGGAGGCTCGTTTTACCAGATCATTCCGGAAACGTACATCACGGGGGGCAAAGACTGCAAGCCGTTCATGACGGCCCTCGCGTCGTCGTCGAAAGCTCTCTGGATCCTCAAGCCCCCGAATCAATGCTGCGGTCGGGGCATCAAGATCATTCCAGGCGGGTCTGACTACACGTACGAGCCCGCGAAACGCTACGTGGCCCAGGTACATCCCCCCCGTCGTTCCGATGACTTCTTCCCGTCACCGGAGGTCGGTAGCGGTACATTATGAATCCATACTTGATCAACGGCTTCAAATTCGACATACGCCTCTACGTCCTTGTACGACAACTTCCCCGGCCCCCTTTCGCACTACGAGACACTCTGTCCCGCGCAGGTGACGTCATATCATCCCCTTCGCGTGTACTTGTTCCCGAATGGCCTCGTTCGGTTCTGCACCGAGGTAACTCGATCGAGCTGCCACTTGGCAGACTTACGTGGGGGTGGCGGCTTAAGTTGGCGAGTTCTGCAACTGGCCCTCTCGACCGTCGCACAAAACCAACGGCTAACGAACGTTGCTGGTAGAAATACTCGACGTCGAAAAAGGACGTGTCGAATCGATTCGGCCACTTGACAAACTACAGCGTAAACAAGAAGAACAAAGCGGCCTTCCAGACCAACCAAGACGCCGCGGCCGACGGCGAAGGCAGCAAGTGGAGCTATCACGTACGACAGCTCTCGAGTTCCGTCCACGTCGGCACCAAACCACGCGTGTGCTAGGCCTTGCAAGCGTACTTTAAAGCGCAGGGGATGGACCCGTCCGCGATTCACAACGACATTGCGGCGCTAATCGTCAAGACTCTCATGTGCGTGGAAGCCCCCCTCGTCGCTTCACTCCACAAGCACACCAAGGAACTCGATGCGTGCTTTGAATTGTACGGGTTCGACATCCTTCTGGATGCAAACGTGCGGCCATGGTTGCTTGAAGTGAACGTATTTCCGTCCATGAGCAGCTCCTCCCCCATGGACAAACGCATCAAGTCCATCCTTGTCTGCGATACATTTCAGCTGGTAAGATGGCCGACACTCGTTGGCGGCTTTCGTATAGTGGCAACAGGTGGGAATCCCTGCCGTCGACTTGGCAGCGGACGCGACGAACGCGTCGGCATCGATGCCTCGACCGAAGGGTTTCATGCAACAAGACCTACACCATCCGACTCTGGACGACAACGAAGCCACGTGGATTCAAGCGCTGGAGGACGAGGCGCGGCGAGTCGGCCACTTCCAACGGATCTTTCCAACTCTTGACACGATCAAGTATTTGGACTTTTTTGAAAAGCCCCGACCAGGAAATGCCGTGTACGCCACGTACCTTCAACGGACGTCATCCGCCAGCGCGTTGAAAAGGACGACAGGTGCGACATCGACAAACCCGCCACGCGCCTCTGGAAAACCCGCTCGGCGGAAGAGCTTGAGCACCAAGTTTAGCCAGGCCAAGGCGGCGAGTTTGAGCTACCACTTGTAGACGACCACGATTGAAATGCAGATCCCGATGCATCCACAACGTGCTCGAGCCCGGTGCGGTCGGCTCGACAAGCCGCTTTGCATTGCGCGCTACACCGACTAGATTGAGCGGCGTCAAACGACGGATGATGTTGTTCGCAACTGCAGCAGATTCGTTTAGAGTTTTCTTGGTGTTACGTATGGTCTCGATGGCTACATGCAATCGAGATGAGCTTGAATTACTTGGCTTGTTTCGCCGCGCGACGATCTCGCACGGACTGTGCCAACGCCTCGAGCACCGAGACCTAGTTGTGTCAGCCGCATGTCAGTTCAAGAGTCCGTCAAGCTTCGTCGTACTGTGTCGTCCCAGCCAATGCATGCGTCGGTGATGCTCTTGCCGTACTCGAGTGGCACACCGGGCGTCAGTTTCTGCGCTCCTTCGACCAAATTCGACTCGATCATCACGCCAATCACGCGGTCGTCGCCGTTTGCGACTTGGGCTCCCTGGAACGCCACGAGTTGAGTTCGAGAGGCACCAACTCGTTGGAAAGACCTACCACATCCGCAGCGACAACGGCCTGGTTGCGGTGGTCCTTCTTCGAGTTGCCGTGTGAGCAATCGATCATGATATTGTCAGACTGGTGGGCTTTCTTGAGCAGCTCCGAGCACTTGTCAACGTGTTCCTTGGCGTAATTTGGGCCGGTGCTGCCCCCGCGAAGAATGACATGGCAGCTATCATTGCCCTACACATAGGATGATTTGAATCGCGGCACTTCACAAAGGCCATGTTACGTTGGTGGTGACGATGGCAGAGAGCCCATGGGAGCTCACACCGAGAAAACTGTGCGGATGTGCGGCCGACACAACTGCATCCACCGCCAGTTGCCTGGATGTGAAGAGCACGTTCAAGTTAGTGTTTGGGAGGCACGGCTGACAACGAAGCGTACAAGGATCCTCCTGTGCCGTTCTTGAATCCAATCGGCATCGACAACCCTGATGTGAGTTCGCGGTGGAGTTGGCATTCAGTCGTGCGCGCACCGATCGCTCCTACGGCCACGTCGTACAGTCCAGGCACGTCATGGTTGGCATCTACAAGGCATCGTACCCCACGCAACGAGGTCGCAGAAGAATTGCGGAGAAATTGTGTCCAGGAATTCGCATCCCGCCTGGTGTCCAGTCAATTTTGACAGTCGAACGATTGGGCTGTCGTACCGGGAGACCGAGCTCGTTGATGGTAGACAAGAGCTCCCGAGCTAGTCGAAGGCCCTAGCGATCGATCGAGTGAGCGACGTCGATGGAGGTGCATCTCGATGGGATGGCGAGGGAGGACCTTGTTGATGTTGAATGTGCCGTCGATGTCCGGGTCATTGATCAGTCCTTTCCACCCCACCGTCGTGCGCGGCTTCTCAAAGTACACACGCATGATGATGAGTAAATCGTTTTCGAGGGTATCTCGAAGTGCTCGGAGCTTCATCGCTAGTTAGCACGCGTGCCATCATGTGAGTATCCCCACGAGCAATGAACGCATGGACGCCGCGAAATGCGGTGCTTACCGTATTCGACGGCAGCTTTTGGGTCGTGGATCGAACACGGCCCGACGACGACGACAAGGCGATCGTCCACGCGGCGCAGGATGTTGTTGAGCTCTTGACGTCCTTTATTGACGGTGCGTGCAATCTGCACCGTGCGCGGCACTTCTTCCAGCAAACACACGGGAGGGATTAGCGCGCGGATGCCACCAATGCGGACATCGACAAGGGCCTGCTTGTCCATGATCTTGGCGTCTCCAGCATCCGAGACAGAGATGTTACGTCCTCGTCGACTGCTCCTGTTGGTACTGCAAGGCTCTCGGCCGTTGTCGTCCGTTGAACTGGATGCGCGCGACGACGATGACGATGCGTACATCCCAACCAAGACACCGACGGTGCCGGCCCATGCGACCGTGACGGCAACGAGGGAGACGGCGAGGGCGACGGAGTACGGGCTGCTGGACGATGCGCTCGATGCCATGGCTGGTCGGTCAATCGCAGAATGAGACGAAAGATTGTGCAAACAGGTAGTGTCGTACGTATCCCGTGCATCGATACGTACGTTGGTTCATTGTTTGTTTGAAATCCAACGTACGATCTCGTCGGACATACCGTACAATATATGTACGAAACGGTCCAAACCTCAACACCAACATCTTGTGGAAAGTCCATGGATGGCACAATGCCAAACCCACGAAGAGGTGGCCGTGAGAGCGTGCGAAAGACCGTGACGCATCTTTGTACGCTTCAACGTAGCTTTCAGCTACATCGTCTTTACTTGAACGCCATGGTACGAACCAACATAACAAGTTGTTCAGGACAACATGCCTGGGTTGTGTCGAATGGTGTTCGATCCATCCTAGCCAAAGTCCGCCAAGAACACGTACTCTATGGGGCAGTCGTC